CACTTTTAGTATCAGTACTATTACGTCAGTACTTCAACCTCGTTGTTCAAAAAAATAATTTATGTAAAGTCGTGAACGTTGTCTTGTTGTTGCTGACTTCGAGTGTTTGGGTCGCTTACTTATATCTTGTCAATCTCAAAAATCCATAGAACGTCAATATATAATCACCAGTTCTTCTCCAAGAATGAATATATTCTGTTTCTAGAAGTCTAAACGACGCTTTTCCTTATACAAGCTTGTGTCGCTGTCTATTAAAACAAATTCGTCTCGAGTCAATATCTGAGCCCCCAACCCCCTACCCCAGCATGTTCTACTGAAGACGTGACTTCCGTGTCCTATTAATCCGTTCTAATCGCGAGACTTTAGCAACTGATCGTGTGGAACTTCCTCAGTTGATCAACATCTTTAACACATCACTTCTCTACTCGACCAAACTCTTCTAATCACGTGACTTCTCTAAATGATTGTATTCTATTAAATTTGTGACTTCCTCATTTTCAGAATTTTCTAAACACTTTATTATAATATTCTAATATATCAAATTCCCTAATCAACAACATTCACCTAAAATATTTCTTCAACAAAGCGCGATATTATTCAACTAATATTATATTTTTAGTAAAATTATATCTAAACTTTTTTTTTCTCAAAAGGTCTGCTTGTGCATGTGTGTGTATCTACTTATGGCTGGCGAGTGGCTGGACCGATTGTCAACCAACCTGGTATATACCCTTAAGGGAATGGTATTCGGATCTGCTCCCTCCCCCGTTTCAACTCTCAGGCACCCTGTATCTTCCCCTTGTGTTGAATGGGTACGTCAACTGGTATATATACTAAATCAGCATTAAATGGACTTCTTTAAAATAATAAAAAAAAAACCAGTGAACCCATGAGAACCTAGCTTACGTCACACGACAACACATTCCTTACTTTACTGTGAAACCTTGAGAACCTAGCTTACGTCACAATACATCTCAGTTCTTGCTTTAACTGTGAACCCATGATACCCTAGCTTACGTCACAGGACAACACATTCCTTACTTTACTGTGAAACCTTGAGAACCTAGCTTACGTCACAATGCATCTCAGTTCTTGCTTTAACTGTGAACCCATGATAACCTAGCTTACGTCACACGACAACACATTCCTTACTTTACTGTGAAACCTTGAGAACCTAGCTTACGTCACACTACAACTCAGTTCTTGCTTTAACTGTGAACCCATGAGAACCTAGCTTACGTCACACTACAACTCAGTTCTTGCTTTATCTGTAAACCCATGATACCCTAGCTTACGTCACAGGACAACACATTCCTTACTTTACTGTGAAACCTTGAGAACCTAGCTTACGTCACACTACAACTCAGTTATTGCTTTAACTGTAAACCCATGATACCCTAGCTTACGTCACAGGACAACACATTCCTTACTTTACTGTGAAACCTTGAGAACCTAGCTTACGTCACACTACAACTCAGTTCTTGCTTTAACTGTGAATCCATGAGAACCTATCTTACGTCACACTACAACTCAGTTCTTGCTTTAACTTTGAACCCATGAGAATCTAGCTTACGTCACACGACAACTCAGGTCTTGCTTAACTATGAACCTAACTTACGTCCCGCGATAGCTTTATTACTTTGATAATCAAATTTATCAACTTTTAGATAAAAATAAGTTAATTCATTCTGTTTTTTGCGACCATTTATAGCTACAAAGATACGCATGTGTGGCTAAATAATTAACTTTTTTTCCAAGACGTTAAGAAAAAAAAATGCAAAAAAATATACGAGTTATTTGTTGAAGATATTATACCCGCTAATATCGTTCCCGAGTAAACAAGATGTGAAAAACAACAACAACTAAATGAAGTTGAATGATATTATGTTAGGGCTTAAATTGTTACAGTATGTTTTAGATTGATCTACAAAACGTTCTTTATGCCCCATTATTAGAGCTTGTTTTTATGAAGTTAAGCACAAAGCTACACAATGTGCTCTGCCCACCACGGGTATCGAAACCCGGTTTCTAGCGTTGTAAGTCCGCAGACATACCGCTGTGCCACTGGGGGACTATTAGAGGTTGGAGACAGCAAAGAATGATCTTATAACTGTTTTACAGTGTTGTTTGTAGTTTCGTGTCACCACCACCACTTACAGTATATTTACATTTTATCTTCTCAGTTAAATATTAACTTCATTTCATTGTGGATTACATTCAAACAATGCCCATTATTATATTAGTAAGACTATTCTCCTGACATTCTCTATAACAATTTTACAGATTGGTAGAGATGTTGTATATATATAAAATACACTTAGATCAATCGAAACCTGAAGTGACATATGAATGTTAGTTTAGTGCATTTAATTTACTCGGTATCTTACAGTAACCCAAAGGTATACAAGAGTGTTTCTGTTTATTCTACAGTAAAACTGAGGATCCAGTGATGAACAAAGGACTTAAAATAATATACACGTGAACTGACTCTGCCGCCTTAAAGAAAAGCTTGGTAAACATCTGTTCTTTCAGCCTTGTCTATAATTATTGATGTGGGTGGTATCTACCCGAAACCGGTTAACCCAGTGAAAAGAGACGAAACAAAGCAGATTTTCAACACATTGTTTTTGCTAACAACGACAAATAAAACAAGAAGAACCATTAATAGTCTGGTACAAAATAGCACGCTTAGTTTAAACACACACACACACAAACACATATATACACTTATAATTCATATTGACTGTTATTTTGTCAGTTTCAAACCAAACGTTCGTGTAAAACAAGATGATACATACGAAACTCTTACATCAAAAAACATCTACTAACACATTATAATTTAATCTCTCTTATTAACTTGTCGCTAAGTTATGAAGACAAATAGTAAATTGTGTTGAAACGCAACCTCTGTGATTTTGTGCTACTTATTTGATAATTTTTCAGATTTCTGAGGAAACTACTACATCGAAGTACTACGTATAAGTACAATTAGAACTCTGAATAAAATATGACATATAGTGTCATTCCGTCAGAAATCTAAATTAAATAATAAACACCAGTTAGCACTCTTAATTCAACGCTGCATAAAATGGTGTTTAGACAAATTTAAGTACCACATATAAGTTTCAGTAATAACTTTTAATTCAACACTGCATAAAATGGTGTTCAGACAAATTTAAGTACCACATATAAATTTCAGTAATAACTTTAATTCAACACTGCATAAAATGGTGTTCAGACAAATTTAAGTACCACATATTATAAGTTTCAGTAATAACTCTTAATTCAACACTGCATAAAATGATGTTCAGACAACTTTAAGTGCCACATATTATAAGTTTCAGTAATAACTCTAAATTCAACGCTGCATAAAATGGTGTTCAGACAAATGTAAGTACCACATATTATAAGTTTCATTAATAACTCTTAATTTAACGCTGCATAAAATGGTGTTCAGACAAATGTAAGTACCACATATTATAAGTTTCATTAATAACTCTTAATTTAACGCTACATAAAATGATGTACAGACAAGTTTTAGTACTGCATACCCTATGTTTCAGTAATAACTCTCAACCAAGTAGTATATACCATGTCATTTTATCAGAAATGTCAATTATTTAATACAAGCCATTCAGCGCCGCAAAATCTTTACTGTATTACAAAACAGAATTCTATTCAGACAGATACTTTATACATCATATTGATAGTAAGGACTCTGACACAGATATTATGCGTCATATGTATGAGCGTGAACACTAAATTAAATATTACTTAATTTCTTGTTTAATTAAAACTCTTAATTAAGAATTACAAATCAAGTTATTCAATTATAAATATTACACATCAAGGCGTTCGGTCAGAACTTGGAATTCTTACAGTATTCGTCCTTCAAAATTTTGAATTAAATTCTAAGTATCATTAACTTTAATTATGATTTGAGTTAAGTATTAAACATTATAATGTTTAATATGTCTTTGTACGATTAGTAAGATTTTGTGATGTCATTGTGACGTAACCATAATCTCTTTATAAACATTACATGCACAAACAAAAGTTGAAGATATCATTAGTTGTTCTAACTTTTTAAGAATAAAGTATATTTATTTGTTTTGATTAGATTTTTTCTGCTTCTTATTCAGAATAAACCAGTTAGATTTTATTTTTGAAACACACTTGATGGACGACGAGATAAACACCAAACCGTTCGTCAGATGGAGCCACTCTCAACGACATGCACAATTTTGTACGGACATGTTGGGATAATTTTTCAATATGACATTTTCATCTTCGTCAAAATAGAGTAGAGTAACAGAAGTTAAGGAATCCGGGACACAACAAGGAGCGGGAACATCCGGGTTGAGGCCTATGGCGTTCACGATACTTTGAATCAAAGCGTGGTTGGAAGGCCGAAATTCCTGGGGAAACAGAAACCATTCTGTTTTAGAGTACACATTTAGAAGGGTTCATAAAGACAAATTAAACTAATTACTTAGCAATAACCGTCGTTTAACTATCTTCTAAAATATTCGTTCAGGTATTAGGTTATTGTTTTTTTCTTATATGTTTGGTTTATTAGTTAGACTATTTGCTTTGTCCACCGCGGAGAATCGAAACCCAGATTTTAGCGTTGTAAGTCCGTAGACATGTCGCTGTCCAACCAGAAGACTTACTTATATGTAACTAAGTTAGCAACAGACAATGAGGTTATCTAAAAACGTTCTCTGGAAAACTTTTCACGTTCTTCCTTAGATTGCTCATATATATATGCAATGTGTTATTACAATCAAATGGTAGACAATGTGATGAATAAGTGTCCAAGCAACATTGTGGATAACATTTAAAAACAATATATAATAAAAATACTGAAATGTTTTGTTAATATATTCATTAACACATAAACATATAAGAAAGTTCAAGAGAAGTTGCCTCATTTTGTCATACTTTGTTCTCGTAAATTTTTATCTCATACTTTGTCTTACAAGGTTAGACATTTCGTTTTTCATTCTGTATATTATATACATTTTTATTATTGATAAACGGATCGGAACGGATACGCTTTTTCTAATTATTAATTCTAATATCTCCCCAGTGGCACAGCGGGCTTACAACGCTAGAAACCGGGTTTCGATACCCGTGGTGGGCAGAGCACAGATAGCCCATTGTGTAGCTTTATTCTTTACTTTAAACAAACAAACAAACAAACAGTTTTTAATACACAGCTAATTGTGAAAACAAATTCTCGCTGTGCTTTAATCTTAAGATTCTTATAAATTCCGACTTTTTTCCTATAATCTTACAGTATGTGATGAAATAGCTTCTGCCATGAGACAAGTCATAAAGCTATTAATGTTGATAATCTAATTATGTGACATGAGTTTCTCGAAAGACAATGGCAAATCTTTCATTTCATAAACTTACGGAGTGTTAACTTTTAACTTCTGTCTAAACGATAACCTTTAAGTGGAATTTGGGTTATTAGATTTGTCTCAGTTGTCTGATTAGGATCTTTGGTGGGCATGTTTTGGCTTTTGGTCACCAGATCACCTTGCGAGCCTTTTTATTTTGGTTTTTAAATGTTAAGCAGAGAAAATAATCAAGATTATGTATCACAGTAACAAAATCGTGCAAGAGAAACAGAAAAGTCATCATTATGCAATTTCTTGAAGGCAAGAACAACATAACACATTGGAGTATGTTGATTTTAGCGAGAGGCTGAAATAGGATTCTAAAATCCAAGAGTTGTCAGGCATACGTCATAACAATTTATTTGCTGTTCCATAATATTCCATTCCACTTACAGGAGATGTTCTTTATAATGATAATTTTACAACTTTTCAACCATACAAAGGTATTAGTACTTTAGCACAACCTCCGCGCCATTACCACTGGATCCAGAGTACTTAAATGATATTCTAAAATAATTTATTATTGTATATAATAAATAAATAACAATAACCCTGGTTCGAGGGTTTGTTTTCTGAAGTATACATTTTCTTCAAAATTGTTTTTCTTCTCCTCAAAACATACCTTATCTGTAGAACATACACAGCGACATCTTTTTTAAAATTATACAAACAAAATATTAGCATATCAATAAAAACATTTTTTAATAAAAAAGTGTATAAACTAAATAGGTACGAGGAACAGTTAAGCATAACAAAAATTGTCCTTAAAAATTAAATTCAACAAAAAATAATTAATGTTGCATACTTAATGTTGCAATAAAAAGATAGATGCAACACTAATAATTTCTTTAGTTGAATTTAATTTTTTATGTTACTTTACGAGAAAACTACTCATTAAAAACCTTCTATAAGTTTTCGTTTATGAAATTCAATTAAATGAGTTTTTTTTTTAAATTATGAACAACCCCCACTTTTCCTTAAAATTCCGTTGAGGTCCAATCTGATAATTTCGATACCAATCAGACATTACCATCTTGTTTTTTATTATATACATATTTTCATGGTAAACATAAAAAAGTGTTGTTTTTTTGTAACAAAAATTGCCATTACCAGTAACGTGTAAAAATATGTAATTAAATGTTTATTAGACAGACACTATTTCAACTGAAATGTATAATAACTTTTAAAAGTTCAGTCTTCTTCTATGTATTCTTATCTTTTATATACGGGTTCTTTAAAATGGCGCTTTACTTTATTAGTACACAAATACCTGTCAAACGAAATGATGATTTGTGATCCCGCATTTACTGGTGAATTATAACTGTACGGTTTAATTAACTGTATGAAATATAGAATATAATTTTGAAGATTGAGTTAACAATTAGTATCAGAAAAAAATTTACTTAATTTTTATCCTAAAATAGCTTCTCATGCAATCAGATGTGTTTGTTAAGAGGTTATTGTGTATAGGCAGTGCTCTTACCTTCGTTAATGGAAACGGACAAAGCCCAACACAATAATTGGTCTCGAGGGAAGTGGGCGCAATTATCCACCTACTCCATCCAATATCTGCAAAATTTACTGTTAGTTTTCGTCTTTGGCATAGCTGTGAGTAAGTTCCATAGGTATTGTAACGAGAGGCGTCGTTTTCGTATGATGGTTCATTATTTGGCTGGAAAAACTGCGGTAATATTCTATTTTTTCTTTTACGTTTTCTCTTGTTTTTTCGTCTGATATTTCTAGATTTTCCAAATGATTTCCAATAATGGGATTCCTCAGGATATGGAATAAGGCCTGGTTTTTGTTTCTCGTTGCCTTTGTGGAAATGAAAAGCATTGGACTTGGGATCTTTAATCTGATTAGTATAGATCACATCGCTCGGAATTTCATTATCCCATATAGATCTTCTGGAACGATTGAAATGGTTTATGTTTTCATATTTTTCGTGATCTTCCCAGTTTAAAAATGAGGGAAAACTATTCATTTTCCAGTTTTCTTTACGCAAATATCGTCCTCCTAAATCTTTGAAAGCTTCCTTCTTTTTTTCATTTTCAGAAAATATGATGAGGAATGGTGTCGAACCTTTTCGTAACACTCTCAAAAAATCCAAAGACTTGTACTTCCCATTGCTTCGATGTACTTTAAGCTTTGCAGCGAAAATACAATTCCCATCAGACTTTGCATTACGACATGCTGTGACTCCCTTGGTGACATTATAAGTTTGCCATCCGTTACCATGACGACTCATATCCATTTTCTGGAGAACAGAAGTTGCTACTGTCCTGAAGTCCAAGAGATGAATCTCAAATCCGATAGCTTGCTTCCTTCGCCGTTTGCTGCCTTTAATCCTTCGTCTTCTCAATAGATGGAGCTCGCTACTGATGATACGTTCAGTGGTACGAATTCCTGTTAAGTTAAAAACGAGAATGTTCTTTTTTTCCAGCTTTCCTGCCAAAACAAACAGTAGATTAATAAATGCAAGATGGCCGTGTTTTGCTCATTACATAAAGAATGAAAATACAAAAAAAAAGAGGGAAATAGTTAAGTCTATTCATTTCTAGGTTTATACGCAGAGTTGATCATACTTGGCTCTAAAAAAATACGCTAATGTGTCTTTGTGTAGCTTAATTACAAATGAAACACATTAAAAATTGGTGAAAGTATTTATTAATTAGATAGTTCGAACAAGAAACTATGATAAACAGTCTAGTACTATTTAAAGCTTAAAGTATTAAAGCTTAAGTATTATTTAAATACCTTCACTAGCCTAGAGATTATACATAGATGAATATGTAGCTTAATTAAAACTGAAACACATTAAGAATTCGTGAAAGTATTTACTGATTAGATAGTTCGAACAAGAAACTATGATAAACAGTCTAGTACTACGGTTGATTACGGAATCTACGTTCAAACAATTGTTCGTAAAATCATGTTAATGGCGTGAATGCACGAAACAAAACAGGTTTATTAAGAGCTCAGAAGGCTTATTTACTACTAACAGTTGGAAAACTTCATTAATTAATGCAAATGTAATGCTCGGATGTTCAGAGATTGGATGTACTACCGAATTCTCACAGTTCCTTTGAACTCGTAATGAAGGAGGAAAAAGGAATTAGCTATAAAAAAACTAGTGACCAAAAGAGAAACATTATCTCTTTTTGATAAAGCACAAGATTTTAAAAATACTGTCATTAACTGTGTTACTGAAACATCATTAGAAATTCTGGACGGCATAATTATACGATCTTAAATGGAACAAAAGAGGTAATTTATTTTGTAGAAGCTAAGCCTAACTTTTTTGTAACTGCCTCAACGTAGCTTTAATCATGACTAGACTAAGTTTTAAAAATAGTCTGCTAATTCGTTTGTAGAAATGACTAAAAAATAACTGTTGCTTCACTAATGAGGAAATGGTTTCTTATAGACCATGCTTTCAAAAGTAGCTTATCCAGAGTGCAACCATATGAATGACGACAGAAAACCTAAATCAGTAAAATATTTCATGAGAATGCTAAGTTTATCAAAAACAACAACAACAATACAAATTTACACACTTTCATCAAAAAGAAAACCTTCATGGTTTTCATTTTAAATCTTATGATATCAAAGCATGTAGAAAAGGTCAAAAGATTTTGTCAAATTCAAAATGTCAAAAGACAAAGTTATCCTGTAAATTACAAAAAAAGAAAACGTAACTTTTAACTACAACAGGAAAATCTTAAATGTACAATTACAGCAGTTATTAATAGTGTTCGAATATTAAACGGGCAGAAAGTTGTATTAAAGAAATATTTCAGTACATTTGCTAAAATTACATAATTACCACTAACAGTTTAACTGGTGTTGGTATTTTTAACCTGAACAGCACCTTATACGACATATGAGTTAAAACATCAGATGAAGGGCTTCTAAGACTTAGTCTTAGTCATTCCTAATTCAAAAATGTCAGCAGAACCCACCGCCTATACGGTTACTAACCGAAAATAAACTGTCACAATTATAAAATCTCTAAAGCGTAAAGTACGAGCTTGTTAATTTGTACATCGTGGCTCGAACTTTGGACTTTATGATCTGTAGCCTGACACGTTAACCACCAGGCCACATCCAGCTGCTTACCGTATCACTGCACTTAATGATTGAACTTCTTTAAGAAACAGTACTATTCTTCTATTTGCCACTAGTACTGTGGTCAGATAGCATACAATAAAATACTTGTATTTGTTTGTAGTTATGCACAAAGCTGCACAATGGGCTACCTGTGCTCTGCCCACCACGGGTATCGAAACCCGGTTTCTAGCGTTAGAAGTCCGCAGATATACCGCTGTGCCACTAGGGGGCATATAAAATACTTACTTGGGAATACAGTAAAGTATAATAAGAAGTTTGTAAAATGGTATAGATAAGCATATATGGCTAAATATACATGCATATAACATTGATCAATCAAATCTTCATATAGTAAAATTGCAGATATTTGGGCTTATCATAATTAGTCCTTCAATGTGGACCAGTGACTTATTTCATGCTTTTAAACAAATCTATTAACAAATTGGATAACTTTGAAACTCATTTTCTCGATTTAGAAACAATTTACATTAAACTTGAAACCTCTGTCGTGTTTTAGAGCCAAATCATTACTATTTTCAGTTAATGCTCATTTACGAATTTAACTCTAAACTTAATGAAATTACGTTAAAGTGATCTCATGACATTTTATCGATTATTAATTACATTCATTTCTATTGGCTGTAGAACAACAGAAAGAACAGCCTATCAAAAGTTTCGATTCAGACTGTAACAGATGTCTTCTTTGTCAAGCTGTTTATATTTTCTTGAAATCTGTGGAAGCGCTTCAAGATGATTGGATGAAAAAATGATCCATTCAACAGTACTTGAGCTGACTTCATGTGATGGATATAATGCAGGAAAGTAAAGTAAATAGTAATGTTTTAACGTGACACAAGGTGGCGAAGCGAAAATAACCCATAAGTCAAAATCCTGTTCGATCTCACATCCTATTCATCAAATCTGTTTAAATTGTTCTTTACATACAAGTTTATCGCGTGTATCCCAAAATAACATTTAGATAAAGTCACGCCTGTTCAATTCTCTGTCAAGGTCGCTACTTTCAGATACTTTCTGTGTAACTTTATTGATATTGAAAACTCATTGTATTTCTACACGGAAATTGTTACATAAAGAAATCGTAATTTATTAATTCAATTAATTTATTAATTCACCGCTTGGGGGGAATAAAAATAGAAATTTTACACCTTCAATTACTTCTACATTCTATGCTTACGTTCGCCGAGCTTTTTCAAACATTGCATGGAGGTTAAACAATAGAATAAAATACAGTTCATCAAACTCAAAAGTTTATAAAGCCACTGAAAGTTTGTTTTTTAAGTCTAAAGTGCTTTTCAGGTTTATGGATTCTGTGTTTAGCAATTTCTGCAAGGAGAGTGAGCAACACAAAAGTACATACGGGTACTCTTATTTTCTAAATTATTTAATAAGATATTTGTAATCTTGTCATTTGTAATATTATTATACATGGAGATAATTAAAGAAAAGCTAACAAGAGCTAGACTTTCAATTAACTCATTTGTAATATTATTATACATGGATATAATTAAAGAAAGACTAACAAGAGCTGGACTTTCAATTAACTCATTTGTAATATTATTATACATGGATATAATTAAAGAAAGACTAACAAGAGCTGGACTTTTAGTTAGCTCATTTGTAGTATTATTATACATGGAGATAATTAAAGAAAGACTAACAAGAGCTGGACTTTTAGTTAGCTCATTTGTAGTATTATTATACATGGAGATAATTAAAGAAAGGCTAACAAGAGCTGGACTAGATGGTACCAGGTGTCGCTAAGTGGTTAGAACGCCGCAAAAATGCACTTCACGCTTTGGGACCGTGGGTGTGCTATAGGAATAAGGGCAAAATTCTACTATTCGGCCAAATAAGAGTAGTCCAAGAATTGTCGTCAATGCCATTGGCAAATTACATCCCCTTTAATCTATCAATCCAAAATTAGGTTTGTTTGTGTTGAATTTCGCGCAGAGCAACACGAGGGCTATCGGCGTTAGCCGTCACTAATTTAGCAGTGAAAGACTACCACCCACCGCCAACTCTTGGACTGCTCTGTTACCAACGAATAGTGGGATTGACCATCACATTATAACGCCCCCACAGCTGAAAGGGTGAGCATGTTTGGTAGGACGGGGATTCGAACCCGCGATCCTCAGATTTCGAGTCAAACGCCCTAACCACCTAGCCATGCCGGGCCCCCAAAATTAGGAACGGCGCTTGGGCAGATAGCTTTTTGTGTAGGTTTTCGTAAAAACTCTAAAATAAGCAGGAAGGAGTAGAGAGAGCGTTTTTTAAACAAACAATACTAATATTTGTGATATGAATTTATACCATAAATCAAGTTAACATTTTCTTACGAACAGAAGAGATGTGGAAACTTACCTTGTATATTTTTATTTTGGGTTTTTTTTTCCAATTTGATAACATGAAATCTTTCGTTACTTTTTGTTTTACTCTTGTTTATGTTTTTCATGTATGAATCACTTTTCATGCAACGGATTTTTTTGTGTGCTTGTATTAACTGTTTAAGACAACTTTGATTCCACAGGAAAACTAGTACAATTTTATATGCTGTTATTTGGATATGCTGAATGAAGCAAAGTACGAGCAGCTGACGTACATGTTCTTCAAACAGTGTTACTGAAAAAAGAAGAAAAAAAAAGAATGAACTATTTTCCAAAAAGCATTGGGTTGGATAAAATAGGTCAGACTACAGGAGTTCATGTTACTTGGAACGAGGGAGATAAATATCTCCTTGAAACTCAAAGATAAACCATTTTGTGGCGCTAGCTTTCCGATTTTTTATTTTATCTTTGAATGTTCTAAATCACAATGTGTAAGATGACATTCAATATCTTACTGTTGATAGTTGTTGACTGGCTATTCTATTGTCAAAGTATTCAAGCCATATAACCAGTCACATTGTTGCCCGGGGGGGAGGGAGAGTAGAGATATTGGGTATCAGATGTTGTACAACATGAAAAAAGTATATGGATAAAGCAGCACAGTTGGGAACGTTCTTAAACTTTCACTTAGACTGAAGATTTCTTTTCCCTTCACAGACTCTAGATAAGAGTTTCTATCAAATTGGTATATTCGCCAACGTAACTTAAGTTTAACCCAAAACACTTCACAATATTCTAAGGAGCTACGAGAACAGAAACTAAGCCAAAATGACCGAAATGTTGTAAGAGAAGATATAAAAAATACTTGAAGCTAGGAATGCTGTTAAAGCAAATAATTTCAGGAGACGATAACAGAGATACTTGAAACGAAGAATGATGTTATACCAAATTATTGCGCCTCCCCCCCACTGGTACCGCTGTAAGTCTGCGGAC